TTGTGTATTATTCGTAGTTATGTATGTTTTTGTCCAGAGCTATATGTTGGGGATGTTACAGGAGCAATCAGCATTGGAGAGCTGCCCGGGTGCGTGCCCGAGGATCCGCTCTTGCCCTCCTGCATGGTACACCAGGAGTGCCTGCCCCAATGGAGATGGTCCTGTCTACCCCGAAGGGTTGAACAAAAAACGTCCATGCGTAGGGAACAGAGAAAAATAAAGCTCACATGTAAGTATAATCATCGGTAAAGGGGGACGCGAGCTCTATTCACACACATTAGTCGAAGAAGCAGAACTAGTATCTTTCGCCTGATGACTGGGAGTGAAGAGGTCCGAGGTTGCTGTAGTGAAAAGATATGTGCATATTGACGTTTGCTCAATGGGAAGAAAAAGAAAAGAAAAACCAAATTGGAGCCAGAAGGTTCCCGAGGGCTGGGTGGCTGTTCCTTGTGGCGTGAAAAATCCCGTTCTGTGGGACCGTCTTTGTTGTGTGCAAATGAAACCGCCTGCCACAAACAAGGCTCACCTGGTTCAGGTGCCCTGGTGCGAGCTGGGAGCCTTATTGGGTAAGTGTTTGACATCCCTCGAGGGCACGTGTCGTGCATGGACTGGCTGCCTCCCGAGGCTCTTCACTTGGGAGTCAGAGGAGGGAGGTTTTAGGTGAGAGACAGCGACCGAGCTTCTTCCCGACCTCAACCTCTGGGGGTTGGAGATGGGGTGGACGACATTGCAGCAGAACAAGATGTAAGAAAAGTAGATAATGATATGAACGAGCTACAGGGATGTTCTCCATTGATATACTGTTTAATCCCTGTTGACGAGTGGATATTTCCTCCTGCACATCAACTGTAAAAAAAGTACAGTGTTTGAGATGACATAAAACTCAGGTAAGATTTGTAATAAAATAAGATGGCAGGAATAACGGTTATAGTTAATGGGCGCCACGAAGAAGAAAAAATAACCAAAGAAAAGGGAGGACACGGAATTATAGGCGAAAAGTCCGACATTAGACCAGCGATCTAACCGTTGCTAAAGTACTGTAATCTGTTAGCAAAACTCTCTACTTGGAAAAATCATTGCGATTGAGTTGCTGTGATCAGGTAAAGAAGGTCTAGACGGAAAACTTTGAGATGGTTGTGCATTAGGGGCTTGGTATATGTTAAGGGAGAAAGGCCTCAACGATTAGAGGTTCGAGTTGTTGATGTGAGGTTGTTCGGTGTTGTTTTGAGGTCGGAGCGAAGTGTCGAGGCGGGATTTCGAGTGTTGATGAGGTTGAGGTTTTAAAGTGCGTTCCGATATCGATTCAGGGTAGATAAAGTAGAGGATTACACAAATTATGTATGCAAATAATTAATGTAAGTACCTGTGTTGTGAAGATTGTTAGAAGCTTTTCGGGGTGGCGACTTCCCGGGTCGATGTGTGTTGGCGTGTGTGTAATGGCGGTATCGTGGTTCGAGTGGTGGTAGGTACCGATCGTTCGTTAAAGCCCCCGTTTTTGCGTGGCACAAAGACAGCTGGTAAAGGTCCGTAGGGTCTTTACATGAGTGAAAGAGTGGCCTACGAGAGCTCCGTGTTATCTTCTGTGGCGCGGGCAGAGTTTGGGCGGCAGTTTGGCAAAGAAGGAATCTGTCGAGGTTGGAGGTCTGTTGTTGAATCCACAGGTTTAGGCCGCGGGTTGCTGCGAGGAGCCATGGCGTGCATGGTGTCGCGTTAAGAGGTGGTTGTGCCAATGTTGTTGAGTGTAGTTGCAGTAGGTTTTAAGTAACCTGCCTGAACAGCAGCTTTGACCACACTGGACCTTGGAACTGTTTGGGTGCTATTTTCCTGGTGGTTCCGGTGTTACACTGCCGTTGTTTAAAGTTGAAGCGCCTGGTTTTAAAAACTGCTGCTACCTGTTTCGGTTGCCGGTGTTGTTGTGTGGTCGGAGTGCGGCCTCCCGTCTGTCTGTAACAGACGCAAAGTGCGAACACACAAGTGGTGTGCTCAGGCGCCCCCCAGCCTGGCGGAGGGGGCTTGAATCGATGTTCAGAGATTTTATAATCCATATTGGGAACTGGGAAAAAAATATATTGGCAAATGCCATTGATGGAATCGATATTTGTTTAGATATTTTTACCCACCCCTAGTTTGCATGTTCATTTTTGATTTAGGATACCTTATGAGCACTTGCCAAGCAGCTCTGTTAACTCATTGAAATAATGTGATGTTATGACAATGAATACATCGCTTACAGTGTGAGAGCAGTGAAAGTGAATGTGCACATAACATTAAATTCAGTTCTCTGTGTGCTTTTGCTTTGCAGTGTGAATGTGGACTTCCAGAGCCAGTCTGTCTGCCCAGTGGGAGTCGTGAGCAGCACCATTGACCCAGACAAGCTACCTTCCAACCGCTTATTTGTGGTCAACGTCACCGAGGTCATTCCATTACATTTGACTTGGTCTAACAGAGCTACATTTTGAATGAGATATTTTTCACTAACTGTCTGAATCTTTACTGGGTGAATCCTCTCTTAACATGATCTCTGCTGCAGGTGGTGGACGTGGGTAATTTCTGGGGCTTTCAGGCAGATGAAGCCAGCTTGGAGAAGCAGCGCCATCTGACAGCAGAGATAAACAAACGTGTGCTGGATCCTGTAACTGTGTCGTTGTATCCCAACCTGCTGTGTCTGGCTCCTTACTCTGAGATCAATGACCAGACTATGTACTACCGCGCCAAGATCCTGCACATGCGTGGCAACACAGTGGAGGTGAATATGCACGCACTCACTGCAGTTCTCTGGTCAAGATGTAGTGCATTCATTTAAGTATCTCATCTACTTCTCTCCTGTCTTATTTTTTATATATTTTTCCGGAAACTCTTACATAACTTTTGGTAGAATAAAAATTGTGCATTATGGCTTTAGCATTTTATTCTAACTAAATTACTAATTCAATTTCACTTCACCTTTGTGCAGACTCTGAATGGCCTGCTTGGCTATAATCGACCTACTTGTTTTTGATTATACAGTGTGTATATATCGTATGGTTACTTTGTTGGAGAATGATTTCCTCTTTCAGACATGCATAGGTACGAACATTAACACTTTTATTCCATGAATGTTGCACTACGTACAACAGTAACGGGTTGTAGTTATTTAGCTTAATTTCTATCTATAGGGCACCGCATAAGAAATTATTTTAAACAGGAGTAGGTGATAACAGTTGCTGATGTTACTTCGTGTACCAGAGCACAGGATATGTTATTGTCTTGCAGGTGTTCTTCTTGGACTTTGGCAACACAGCGGTTGTTGGCTGCAAAAGCCTCCGAGAGCTGCCCTCTGACCTCCTGTCTCACCCGTTCCAGGTAGCAATGCAATGGCCCTGTCAAATGAATGCAAACGTTTGTGTTCCACTGTTCAAACTGTGATCAAACAGTAACACATGAACACTGTGATTATGGTCTCAGGCTCAGGAGTTCCAAGTTACAGGAATGCGTTCTTCACCCCAGTCCATCATCCTTGGGAACCAGTGGAGCAGCCGAGCCCGCGACCGTTTCATCACACTGGTGAAGGGCCATTCACTCATTGTGTCGCTGTACTCCATCCTGCATGGTGTCATGCGTGTGCAGCTGCTCATCAACACAGAGACAACAAACACCAGCGTGGTGGACATGTTGGTGGAAGAAGGACATGCTGTGAAGGCCGAAGAGAGTTTTGATTCCAAGGTGTGACATAGAAATACATTGATCATGATGTGCACTACTTAAAGAGACACCTCACACAAATATGTCCTTTAAGTAACGACTTACCCCCCTCAGGCTTAAAAGGTGCTTGATAAAAGAATCTTTCAGAAAGAGAGAAAGCAATAGCTATGGTCAGCTTGAATTCACATTACTTACAGTTCACTCCATAGAAACTGCACCATATTCCACTTAATCGCTGTCCATTCAAAAGCTATGTTCAACTTTTAGATTTGCTAGAATAAGGCAAATTAAGTGTTGTGTGTGTTCTAATAGCATTGCATTTCTCACACAATGACCACTTTGTACCTGCAGTACTGATTTTTTCCAGCAGATGTTGTGGTTGGATGCTGTGAGCAAACAGTTCTTTGGTCTCAATGAAAAAAAAATTAATCAGAAGGTACATTTTTTGGGCCCAATCTGACTGTCAAGCTCTACAAGAAGACTTGAGACAAAACTTAATAGATTTTTTTTCTGAGCAATGCTAGTGCAGATTCAGAAAGATCCATACTAATGCTAATGATGTGCATTCTGCTAGTCTAGATGTTTTATTTTTATGTGCTCTTGCAGCAAAGCCATGAGGCACTGATGACGCTGTACAAGGACATGGAAGCAGGTACATATGTCCCGAACACTGCCAGCAGCTCCTGGAAAGATCGCAAGAAAGAAGAGAAGCAGCTCATTGACAACCTGCTCGCCCACTTTTCCAAAAGCAGCCAGTCCCTTTCCAAGACAAAGGCAAGATACACTGAGCTAAACACGTTCATGTTGTGTTTGTACTAAAATATTAGATATGGTCAGATCATTTTTAGTTGCACCTTTTAGAACCAATGTTACATAGTGCTTTATAAATCTAAAGAAAAAACAGTAAAAAAGGTATTAAAAACAGTTGAATAATTACAATCAATAAAGACAAAGCCTTTAGATTTAAATGGGTTTTGAGGAGGGATTTAAAATAGGACGCAGACTCACAGACACTGTCTGAGATGCTGATATTTTGGGATTGGGTAGATGATGGCATCGCCTCTGCAATGTCTGTTGCTCTCAATTTGTCCAGCAGATGGAGACATTTCAGTGGCTCAACTCATGTGTTTGTGTTCATTAGAGGCACACCCATTATCAGAGAGATGAGCAGAACAATGACGACAGGTTGATTGTAGCTGTGAATCACAATAACTGATGGATGCCTGAATACGTCATTAAATGTGTTTGACTGGCACCTTCCTTCTGACACCACAGGTTCACCTGCATGGACCACACAGTCCTAATAAGATAAACTTCCACAGCTTGAACCACAAAACCCACTACAAGTAAGCATTACTTACACCAAGACCAACTGAAACTTGCAGGTTGCATTTCTTCTGAGTGTGTCCTCCTCCTGCAGGACAGTGTGTATCGAGAGGAGCAGCATCAACTCCCTGGCTGTGAATGAAAACCCTCACTACAAACATCAGAGGATGCTGGTGGCTGGGACCGTGTCCGTCAACTCCACAGGTGTGGGACACTATGTCTCCTCATAAACAAACACACTTATTGACATTTACAGCTTAAATCTCTATAATCAACATTTTTTATATTAAAAGTGGATCGAATTTCTATATGTAATGTGAAAGGGGTTTGAAGTGATACAGTTGTTTGCCAGTATGTTTGTCAGAGCAACTTTATCAGTGTGTAATACGTTAGAAATGTTAGTTTTTTAGCTGGGGTTGGACAATATGTTAAAGATTTTTCAACCAGCCACCGTCAGTCCAGCAGTCAGCAATTTCTGTTATATTCACGCATGCGTGTGTGCTGCGTCTCCTCTCCTGGCCTGTCCCTGTCCTGTCCCAGGCTGTGCCTACTGTGTCCCCATCCTGCCCCAGAGGCATGTTTGGAGCCTCTGCGAAAAGCCTTGTTACTGTATTCTCTATCTTCAAACTCTCGCATGGAAATAAACCCTTAATTCACTGCAGTTAGATGTGAAAATACTCGGTTTTTCCTCTCACTCACTGAGCGGCTCTCATTCTTCCGAGGCAGGCCCTGAAATTAGCAAAATAAAATGAGAAAAAAACTCCCCGAAAAAAAAAATGTAAAGAAAACAAAACAAGCTGCGATGGAATCACCCAACCCTATATAACCGTAGTTCTAAATCAAAATCAGTTATTGCAGCTTTTAATATGTGGCTGTGTTGAAGGGACACGGATTCTACTGAGAGATACCTCAATCATGCCAGACATCCCTGGACTGCCGTCACTTATCACCATGCTCTTCACCCCCATCATGGAACTACGGTCAGTCAGTCACAGACGTACCGCTGCACACCTTAAAGGCAGCATAATCAAAAACACATGTTCATATTTTTTCCCCCATTTTTTTGTAGCACTAACGAAGAGAGGACCTGCTACACCGGTGCCCTTTGTGGTTTGGGCTGGAACAGTCAAACCCAGGAGGGCATCTTACCTGAACATGACATCGAACTTGCCTTTGACGTCAAATTTGATGTTGAAGACATCACTGAGGTAAGAGCTGTCAGCAGAGAGGGAGAGATACAGCTGTGCTTTCTCACTCGTTGGTTGCATCTTGGTGTTTGCCAGGTGATTCATACGTTGTCCCCTCAAGAATTTCCAACTTTCCACCGTACACGGTTTTGTTTTCTTTAATCTCAGTATCTCAAAGGTCTTGTTGTACCTTGTGATATAGACACTGGTGTGCCGATGATCTATAGCTCTAGGCCTTGTGTCTGTTATACTTAAATTCCAGTATTACATGATATAGCATTGTCTTTTGTGTATTACTAATTAGGTCTGTGTTTTCTTTCTTTTTCAGATAAATGCTTTACGAGTTGCTGTAAACCGTCTGGTGTGTGAAGGGCAAGGTGGAACTTGGCATCTAAATTCTGACAGGATCAGCCACCTGCAGGAGGACTGTCAGGACCGCCTCATAAGGTCATTTACATTCACCCACAGGAATCTGTAATGCGTTTAAAGTTCAATCAATGTGAATGCAATTATTAAGCTGTGTTTATATTATTTAATGCAGACTGTTCACCAAGTCCCCGCCAAGGGAAGCTGTCACTCCCGTGTACTACGAGAAACTCGAGAAATGGAACCAGGTACACTACATGAAAGTGCTCTTGCAATTTCATTTCATGTCAAATCTGTGAGTACATTTCAGCGCTGTGTGTTTTTAAACTGTTGAACCTGCAGGTGGATCCTGCTGTGAAGATGGATATTGTTGAGCCTGGAGGCGGAAAGAGCAGAGGTGTTCTCTTCCAGCTGCACCCTGTCACTCTCCTCAACAGCTAAAAAAGCCACTGCACTTGTTGCATTTGTGTTGAAATTTAATTGATTGTAATGTTGTACTATGAGCAGCTGCCTGGAATTTTAATTTGAATATGGTAAGAGGAATATATTTTTTAACTTCAGTTCAGACTGTAGCTTTCAGCAGCACAGCTAAATCCTCAGTCCTTTATTTGTTGTTTGCAGCTATCACTGGAGTAGTTGTTCCCTGTTTAAAAAAATAAGTGGCTGTAAAAGTTCATCCTGTAGCAGTGGGCCATTAAAAATAGTTGTTTGCAACAGATGAGGCTTGTCAATCAGTCTTCAAACATAGTCTCATTGTGACCCAAGAGTCAAGTTAAATTTGTCCCCACAGCACACGCACACACACTTAACTACTACTACAAGATGAGACGTGTGTCTGTGCCAGAATTCACTGGCTTATATTTATAGCCCATCATTCCAGGTCTCCCATCCAAAGTGTTATCACCTCAAACTTAGCTGTGGTATCACACACAAACTCATCTTCACTGGCTTGAAGTCGTCTTGTGGATCTAAACACATCAGTAAAGTGGCTGAGGAGATGTTATACATCAAGGTACATTTATTTTTCTTATTCTTGTAATTAAATACATAGTGTAAGTGCAAATAGTTAGAGTCCAGGGTCTAAAGAACTACAGAGTATAGTTGAACATAGTACAAAGTTGGACAGTTATTCAAACAAGCTAAATATCACCAGATACTCCTTGTCTTCATAGTAGTTGTACAACAGTACCTAAAACATGAGCGTGTGTATTGTTCCTTATGGTTATACAAAAGCAAAAACCCTACATTACCACATCTAAGACGCATATTGTTAAATTATTTTGTGCTTGGAAACACCGAAAGAAAATCATTTTTGATATTTATATATATTGACATTGACTGAGAGAAGCCCCGTCTGCTAACTCAGAAACATGAAGCAGTATTTAACATTGGCAGCAGAGCACGTCTGAGGGCATTTAGCTTTTTTGTGCCAAACCGTAAAGTTTGTGGCAAGCACTGCAAAGCAAAAATGTAGCGTGATTTAAAAACTGCACAAAATATATCAAATATTATTTACCCAAGGCTCGACTTCATGCACTTTATAATAAGCAACACAAAAAAAGTCAGTTTCTTTTTTTGTTTTGGAGTTGTGTACTTGTCTACCTAGAAACAGGATTATGTACGTGTGACTGTGTGTGTGTGTGTGTTAGTGTTTAGACTGCTATAGACAGGGTGAAGGCTTCTCCAGTGGATGCTTTTAGAGAACACCAAGATGACATAGCACTACGCCCCACAGATGACGACCAGGCTCTTGAACGGTGAGCAGACTGCCTGACTCTTGAGCTGGACTGGACTGTCAGCTTCACGGTGAGACAGACAGGTCTACTCCTCCTTCCTCTTGGCCCCGGGGATCTTCGCTTGGATCCTGTACAAAGAAAACAGGCTTTAATACGTGTCCAACAAGATGTTTATTCTAGATTTAGTGTTGCTTAACAATACGCTTGTGCTGTTTTTGTACTCTTTTTATGGCAGTCCATCGAACAAGTCAAGTGTTTCTAAAATTGGTAAATGGATGGTGGTCAGTCCAAGAACTGCATTTTTAATTTTTTTTTTGCTTTTATACAACAGATGAACTTCACTCTTTAGTTTTCTGGGTTAACACAGAGCTGATGAATATAGACTTGTCAGTTTCAGTCCATTAATATGACCAGTTATCTACAGTGCTGAACCACGCTTTATTCTGTGCAGCATGTTAGCATCTGTAGCCTTTTTAAGCTTATTTTAAACAGACTTGATGGTCCAAACTGTTTAATTTGTTTACAAATGGGAAGGTTTGCTGAGCATAAATGCTCTTTTCATCAACGCCCCATTCCACACCTTCACAGTTACACAAATAAATACGAGGAAGCTGCCCAGTACAATCTGCAGTCTTGTCTGCTGGCCACTGAGCAGCATTACTGGAGGGTTAAAGGTAATCAATCTTTTAGCTGATTGCTTTGGACACTAAAATGCAAAAAATGCTGTCCAATCATGACTAACAAAATGAGTAACAACTAACTAAGTTCATTTTGTGCTGGAAGCTGCATTTGTTCGTATATCATAAGTAAACTTTCAAAAAGAAATGGGGAAAATACTCACTTTCCCACCACAGAGTTGACCTGGGTCCGTATTAGTCCCACATATTGATCAATCTGTGCCTGAAAACCAAAGGAAAATGACAAGTGTAAATACAAGACAAAATTTCCCAAACCGGGCTTTACTTGAATTTAAAAATAAGCTCAGATTCCTACCTGATGTTTCTCATAAACCACAGGCATGGTGAACATGGAGACGACAGCTGTAGAGGCATTGAGAAAGTATTGGTTAAGTATTCTGACCTACAGTGGGAATATGCCCACACAGGAACACACTTATGTCGGCCCCCGACTCTTATCTCATGTACACTGGAAAAGTAAACCGATACTGTACGTGTTCGACAGCAAAGTAAACATGTCCCAATTTAATTTGGTTAATATGGTTGTTTAGTTGTTTGGTTGTGGTGTAGCGATAAGGACATGTTGTACTTCTCCTTAATGACACACAGGATATAATATAGCATTATGTATTCTGTTCATCAGGTCTTCTGAGAATTATTGAACTTCTGACACAACAGCCTGAAATGCTGGAGTGTGTGTGAGTCAACAGCAGTGCTCGGAAGTTTGATGCAGAGCTGAAAAAAGAGCCGGGTGAGAATCGGGATGACCTCACCTAGGATGAGCAGTGTCAGGCCGTTGAAGAGAGCGCCCACATAGGTCAGCAGCCACATCAAAACAGCAAACTAAAATACACACACACACAACATGTTTTAATCTTTGGACACAGATACCGTCATCCCCTGCTAGTGATGTTTAAAAATAAAATAAGCGAGTTTGAGGCAAACCTTCAAGGAATCGACCAGATCTTGTACGAGGAACAGCCTGCGGAGCTCCTTCATACAGGTGTTGGTGTACAGCAGGATTTTGTCGGCATATTTGCTAATCTGGTCCTGGGATAGAGCAATTTCAATCTCCAGGTAGGATCTGGTAACACACACAAGGTCAGGAACACAGACAAGACCCTTCAGTAAACAAATACCATACACCTTTTTAATGAAATTCATAAACCGTCTTATTCAACAGTCTACTGTTTTACTCACTTGAAAGGATGTCCCTCATCGGTCTTCTGCACAGCCTGCAGCACAGACTTGTAGATCCTGAAGCTGATGGTGGCAGAGAGGGCTGCCAGGGCTAAGTAGGCTCCGACGCTGACCACGCTGAACTGGGTCAGGGAGAAAAGGAGCAGAAGCACGCTGCTGAACACGGCCCCCGACTGCTTCACATTCCTCCAGTAGAGCAGGTCAATCGCTGTGGGGTGGGGGAAGGACAGAAGGACAAACGGGGTTAGGGGGACCCACAACCAGCATGACCTGACCTCTCAATTTGTGACATGTAGGACCTGGGCATCCATGGCCGTATCCTTTTCAAAGTGGATTATGCTGCTGCGCGTTACACACCAAACATTTGGGTCAAATATCTGGAAGCTGTTCACAACCTGACGTCCTCAGAGAGCTGCGGCTGTCACGTGATCCTGTTTTAACCCAGCTTCCTAACCTAGCTTTTGGTTATGTTAGGGGGAGCTGTGGAGCTGAAGGTGTCTGAGTGACAAATCGTCAGTTCACTTTTTTTGTGTTTTTTTTACACCTATATATAGAGCGGCCTTTGCTGAAGATAAAAGCTGACTCTCACTTGCCAGGTGAATGCTTCGGTCTGCGCCGCCACACTCCGGACCAGTGGGACTTTGTATTTACATCTGACGTGTACTTATTGCCAGCGCCACCTGGTCCGGTCTCATACGTATACAAACATACATTCTAACAGGAAGAGGGAACCTTATTACACTGGAGGTACACCTGCACCGGCTGCCCTCAGAACAGAATTAATGATTGACCCAAAGCTCGGCGAAGGCAGCAGCAGAAATAGAAGCACTATCAGCAGTTCACAGATAACGGTTCAATGTGACCTGGCCAGACAAGCAGTTCTGTGGTCAGTGAAGAAGGATGACGATGCTTCAATGCGGTGTCTCATTAATGCAGTGTAACACAATGATTCCTCAGAAAAGTCTCACTCATACAGGAACCAGCATGCCTGCAGGCACTCGTACATCTTGGAGCACCATTTTCCTTCCATTCGAACATTTCCTCACTTCTCTGGGTGGTGGGGCCTGTAATTCAAAGCCACTAGCAAAGATGAGAGAGAAGTGAGGACTGAGGATTAGCCCAGTGTACCATTACAGCTCCAGAGCCCGACATGGTCCTCCGCTGGCAGTCGTCTGTGTCGGCTGGAAACATAGGCCCGTTTCCATGAGAACTGTCGGCTGCTTGTTTCACCTCTGAACTGAACCAGCCGCCTCCCCCACCATGATTGAGAATCTAACAGCACTACCAGGGTTTACTGTTCATCTGTTGGTACCGACATCTGGAAATCCATAATGTCACAAGCTGAACCGATACGTTAATGTAAAGTTAAGAAGAGAGAATTGCTGCTGTGGTCTCTTGGGTGTCTTACTCTTCCTCTCGGAGCTGTCCGCCAGCCTGCCTGCTCTAATTTTAGCTGTGGAGCTGTGAGCAGCATAGTGATGACGGCCATCTTTACTCTCCACTAAAAGGCATCTGTGGATGCCAAAAAGGCAGGCTAAACCTGGGTGGCAACAGTCATTGTGACTAAGTAAATCTCTGCTTCATATACACTCGCTTCCTATACTATAAAATAACACATTTATAATCTGAATTTTCTTATCAGTAACCAGTAGTGACTTACAGTACCCATCAGCCCCCCGTCCCCCCCGCCCACTATCAAATCAAAGCCACTACTCATTCAAAAACAGTAGGGACAGGATCCATGTGCCCGAGCTGCTTTACATGCACCACTCCCCACAGAAACCATTGTTGCTGCCACTACTGACAAACTGTCCGTGTGGCTAGTGATTTTAATGGAGATGCTCTCGCACACAGACACACACCCACACACACAGACAGACAGACAGACAGACGGACAGACAGGCACAGGTAGCACATACAGCAGCTGTAACAGCACACAGACACATCAACAACAGACCGCTCAGCCAGAGACAGGTGTTGACCGGCGACAGCGCCTGCGCCTTGTGATGTGCTGCACAGACTGCACGCAGACCGAAAAGCTTTTTAACTAGTGCTGTAGAATGGTGTACTGACCTGCGGCTCCCATGGCTGAACAGGGAAAGAGGCAGCTGCTTTATCCACGGACAAAAGGAGAGCACTGAAGGGGGAGTCCCCCCCCCTGCACAGTCTGGGGAGGGCTACCGCACACCAGCAATCAGGCATGCCGCTCGCGCAGGACTGAGGGTGGCAGGGAGGGGGGAGCTGGGGCGGACGTCTGTGGTGCGTCACGTCTGTGGGGTGGCGGTTCTAAAGATCACATTGGCAATCCAACACCACTAACGCTACAAACAGCACACACACCACATCTCTCTCTCTCTCTCTCTCTCTGTGAGCTCTTTTATGCTCAGGCTTTTAAGTACAGCCCTGCTGACACGTGACAAAGACTGCCAAGCAGCGACTAAAATAAAAGACAGTTTATCGAAAAAAGAAGACGGAACCTTTATATATGTAAAGATTACATCATGTGACTTCAGCAGCTCAAGATGAGACAACCACTGTCGAACACATAAAACTCATTCTCTGTAGCCATATTCTGCTGCTCCATTAAAACGCTTCGGCGCCAAGGATCGGCCGAGCACCTGCCTGATGCAGTTACCATAGTTACCGTGCTCCATTTTCTCCCCACCACTCACTGAGAGATGGAGAGAGGGAGGAAGGGAGGGGCCATAAGAGGAAGAGGGAGGGAGGGGAAAGAGCGTTCCTTTGGGAACAGAGAGAGATTCATTTGCTCTGAATCTGGGGAATCAGCAGCACATAATGTGTCTCCACTCCCCGACATATGAAGACAGCCTCTCCTTTTATGGTGGAGCACAAAAGGACAATGGCACGTTTAACATGAGGCCAGTTAGTCGTCAAGTCTGTGTCAGGAAAATGTTTTTTTAAAAACTGTGTATAAAGGACTTAAAATTGTCAACTCATAGTGTCACATTACAAGCGTTAGTCTGATTTCTAACTGATTAAAAGAATAAAACTGCTTGTTTCTGCAGTGCAGCTTGTTTACACTAGAAACCATCTGAGGTGATATCTGAATTGTTTACATTCAATTAACCTCAATCTAATATTGATTTATAATAACCAAATACAGAAAATCCAGTTTGTTTTTGAAGTAGCAAAAACTGCATGCCTACGTTTTAATAAAAAACACGCAGGATGTTCAGAGGAAGTTCAAACTGCTCTGTTTGTTGATGTCACTCTTGCCTCTGATATTCAACATACACAAGCAAAAAATAGCAAATGGTTAACACGAGTGACAATGATTCCCCCTCCCCCTTTTCTGTAGTGAAACTAGTTTAGCCTGACCTCATTAAATCACTGAAGACATCCTTGTGGCCTCAAACAAGCCATCAGCCAGAGTGAGAAAACATGCAAAGGGACTTTTAAGAAGATTCAGAACTTAAGTCTCAGACTTGGACTGCAGTGACTGGAACTTAGACTTAAGAATGATCATTTTATACTTGGGTGTTGCATTGCTAGTATTGACAGAGATATCTCATCAATCTGACATCTCGTCCAACAGAAACAAACAGCAGCAAAGTTGAAAACATTTTAAACCAAAATTAAATTAGTTATAAAGCTCAATTCTCCTCTCAGACCTTACTATATCAACAGATTTAAAAGCAAAACGTTGTGTAGACCAATAAATATGCAACATACCACAGCAGAGAGCTTCAAATATTTGACATTCATGTATTTGAGAAACTACTACATTAAATATGGTAAAAACTGACATATTTATTACTCATGTTTATCTTGTAATAGTGAGATTTTGTGACACATTATACCATTTATTTAAGAATGTAGATTAACTTGATTAATAAAGGTGGCCACTTAATTATGAGCCACTAATAAAGTGTACACAGTAGTGTAGTAGTACGTTTTGACCTATAGCATACATTAGAAAAGCTATTGGCATTTGTGTGTCATCTTGAGTCCTGTAAGAGTTTCTTTTTAATTAATCAGAGAAGCATAACTTAATTTTGGATATGTCTGCATCGCTGTTTGGCCATTCTTGAGTGGCGTGGTGGCAGTGAGTCGGTACTGTGCATGTGCAATGAGCATGACTAAACATAAAAATGTCTACAGCTTTAAGGTGATGTGCAAACATTCAACAGAAACAGAAAGTAAAGCTGCTCCGTTTCATCCTGTGCTGTGCTAACTGTATCAGCTTAATTTGATGCGTTCCTAATGTTGTGGACAGATCCCATCAGATATTGTGTTACACAGTCTCAGACATTCATTTTGGCCAAATGAAACAGATAGTGACTCAGTAGAATAATGACAAATGGGGGTTTGTCATCAGGGTTATTTTTAACAAGCTGCGCATCCACAGTCAGTGACTATTACGTCTCTGATGGGATACAATAAGCGGACCAGTCTATTGCAGTTTCACTGCTGAGCCAAATCTAAAAAGATTGCAGATTATAAACCACAACCAGTGTGGAGGAAGGGACGCCATTTTCTCTCTTGGCCCCTGTCTACGAGCCCCCTCCATGCTATGGAAACAGACAGACGGAGGACGCTCTTCTCCGGCCCGGTCTCTGCAAGGTGCCATGGCAGCCGAGGAGATAGGGCTGATGTAATCAGGATGGGTGTGCCCTGGTTACCATGGAGACAGTCTGTCAGTCTTGCCGGATGCTCGGACTGCCTCGTTACACAAAAAACAGAGCATACGCCATATAAAAACCAGCTCCCCTGCACAGTGACAAAATGGGGAGGGTGATAATAATGACACGCCTTAGTCCACTGGCATCCATGTTAACACGCACCCAAAACAGATGGCTCCCAGCATGCTGGTGTGTATACACTTATTTTCCATAACACCCACCAGCGTCTCTCACCCCTCTCCTCTTTGTGATTTTTTTTTTTGGACGCACATACATGCAGCAGAAAGGATCTGTCATCAGGGCGTGTCCATGTGAGAGGAGGTGCAGGTAAACGCCGCTGTTCGATTCCCCAACACTTAACAAATACAGTTGCCCAAATGTACACATGCAAAGCACACATACACACACGCAAGGATACACGCCCATAGTGTCATGAACAATGAACCTACATGCAGAGATAGCAGTCCATCTCTCACAGCCACAAAACACAGACAAACTGATGAGTAAATCACAGTAAACACATCAGTACCCTGGCCCTTCCAGCTGCTCCAGGAGCTTTCCTTCTTGGTCACGTCTGCAGTGGCCTGCATGCTGGTGATCAGTTATGTCCCTGTTCTCTTTCTCTTTGTGGTTGTTTTCTTCTTTGTCTCCCTCTTCGGTAGCACCGACTCACTCACTCATCCCAGAAAGGCATGAATGGTCGAAAAAAGGATGCGGAGATGACAGAGCGGGAGGAAGGGAGGGAGGGAGGGATGATAGGTTTCCTAGGTGCTGCCGGCTCGCGGAGCACACAGACTGATGCTGTGGAGTGGAGCGGCGCTGGCTAGAACAGAAGGAGCAGGGAAAGTGCGTATGTGTGTATGTGTCTGTGTGCGTGTGTGCTGGGGGAGGGGGGGTCAAATTGTAAACACCATACCACAGTTGCTGCTGCAGCAAACCATCCATGCAATGATTAAGAGCCTAAGGGGGTGAGAGGGTGGGTGGTGATCATCGGAGGCTCAGTTTTTTTCTGGAAAGGGATGGTGCACTAGCTTTCACAATAAAAGCCTTAAAAGAACCTCAGAACACGCTGGTAAAAGTGGGGTTACAAGCAGTGGGAGGGTTATCCCACATACGCTTTGATGAGACACCAAAGCATTGTCATAGACTTCCTAGCATGCCGCTGAAGCTTCTTAACACAACCAACCATATTTATTGGTGCAGTTTGTAATACAGGCAACAAATATGACATGTAACCACATTCTGTGCAACCTAAAAGAAGAACAGCAGTCATTGCAGTAGTCTGATGCCATGTTGCACAGCAGACAATGTTTTCTACAGGTTGAAAATAGCTGGACAACGTTGCTAAGGAAATAATATGGCAAACATCCAGTTCTGTTGTTCTTCATTTTCACAGAACAATATTTAAGGTTATAGCCGGAGATACAAATAGCTGTTTCCACTATGACTCACTGATAATTGAAGAGACAAAGTGCTGGTTCTTTAATAATTCATGACGAGAGACAGTGAGCCTTACAGCACAATGCTCCTTGTTTAGCGCCCCCAGGATGTGTTTGTGCTTTACAATTTCCTCCCTAGACTGTAGGTGACTAAAAAAAGCAACATAGGATGCTTTAAAGCACAGTGCAACAGAAACAGCACTGTCACTGTGGCGTCAGCACTGAGCACAAAACAATTCCCTCATAGTTTAGGGCTAACATCTTTTTTCAATCCCATCAAAGCTGCCCCCCCCCCGTCGCCTCTCCTGCAGACAGCCACACCTCACACCTTCTGCTCACTGCAGCCATGACAGACTTCAATGCCAATACCAAGGGGAAAGAAAGAAAAAAACAGATTTCTCTGAACCAGACTGAACACGCTCCCCCAATCACTGTTGCTATGGCAACTGGCGTGAAAGTGCACCCACAGATGAAAACAATATCTGCGGGTATCCGAGCAGTGATGACAAAGGTGCACTGCACCCTCTAGTGGTGGAGAAAAAAAACACGTGACCTGCTTTTCAGCATTTCCAGAACCTTCTTACAGTATGAGTAAACAAAACAAGGAGAGCCTCTTTTATTAGCTTTTAAACACAGCTCGTAATGTTAGACATTTCACTATTTATCAGACTCGCTCAGTGTATTCTGTTGGACCAGCATGCATCAGCAGGTGTGAGTATCTGGAAATCCATGCACCTGACTCTTTGGAGGCCACAGAAGAGCCAAGACCCCATCAACATTCATACAGATGTGGTATTTTCAGCTGTGTAACGATGCACAATTCAAGAGGAAGCCTTCAAAGCCCCTAAGTATGAGTGTGCCCCAGTTTTGACATCATAGCATTATGTAAACCCACTGTTTACAAGGACAGAGAGAACAACCAATAGAAGTCAAAATACCAACATCAAACGCGCAGCTTAGACGGCATTAACTCCTGGTGGCTGCGGCTGGCATGTCTGACTTATCTAATCACAGGACGTTAAAGAGTGATGTAAGGAGCCAGATGCAGTCGAGATGCAGTTATTTTTTCATCTGCAATTCACTTATTTGTGCCGTTGTCACTGAAAGCAGAGAGTAACGTTTACAGGTTAGACGGTGTAGCTGTTCAGTTTCAGCCGTCATGCATTGCCATAAAATTGAATCAATGCATCTTCACTCTTGTGTTTTTCCATCAAATGTACCACCAGGGGGAAGCAGACCTCAGCAAAATAAGACACAAGCACTTCCCACCCATCCCTTGCACAGACACACACACACACACACACTCAACAGTGGTACGTCCTATTTCTCCCAGCAATCCTGTTTACTTTCCTGGCCTTGTCAACAAAACAATGTCAAAGCACACCATGCAGGTAGCAACCAGGAGGTAAACAAACACGATGCTATTGGAAGAGTTTATGTCTCTAGATACGATGGGGAAGGTTTAGAACATAAATGCACATGCGTTAGCTCTTCCATTCGGGCATGAAGACACACATCAGCACCCACCTACCACGCTACCTGTTCCACAAGCTGACAGCACTATTTCTGGAAAGCCAGTACTCAAGATAGTAGCTTATAAGCCAAGGGGAAACA